GGGAAGGGTGTCGGGGTTATGGTCAATTTGCATGTTTCTCTTTTATTAGATAGGATAGATATACACATACATACACACATACATACACATATATACTAGAGGCCCGGTGCACAAAAATTTGTGCACTCAGGGGGATCCCTCAGCCCGGCCTATGCCCTCTTGCAGTCTGGGACCCCTCAGAGGATGTCCACCTGCTGGCTTGGGCCCACTCCCTGAGGGACCGGACCCAAGCTGGCAGTCAGACATCCCTCTGGCAGCCTAGCAGCCCTCTGGGGATGTCCACTTGCCAGCTGGGAGCAGGCCTAAGCTGCAGTCAGACATCCTTAGCGCTGCTGAAGAGGCGGGAGAGGCTCCCACCACCACCGCTGTACTGACAGCAGTCAGCCTGGCTTGTGGCTGAGCAGAGCTCCCCCCTGTGAGAGTGCACTGACCACCAAGGGGCAGCTCCTGCATTGAGCGTCTGCCCCCTGGTGGTCAGTGTGTGTCATAGTGACCAGTCATTCCTAGTTGTTCTGCTGTTAGGGTCAATTTGCATATTACCCTTTTATTATATAGGATAGAGGCCTGGTGCACTGGTGGTGACCGGCTGGTTTGCCCTAAGGGTGTCCCGGATCAGGGTGGGGGTCCTGCTGGGGTGCCTGGCCAGCCTGGGTGAGGGGCTGATGGGTGTTTGCAGGCTGGCCACACCCCCTTCAGGATGGGGGTCCCCACTGGGATGACTGGCCAGCCTGGGTGAGGGGCTGATGGCTGTTTGTAGCGTCACACCCCCTTCAGGGTGGGGGTCCCCACTGGGGTGCCTGGCCAGCCTGGGTGAGGGGCTGATGGCTGTTTGCAGGCTGGTCAAGCCCCCCTCCCAGTAGGGACCCTCACCCCATGGAGGTTTGGCTAGCCTGAGTGAGGGGCTGATGGCTGTTTTCAGGCTGGCCACAACCCCTTTAGGGTGGGGAGTCCCCACTGGGGTGCCTGGCCAGTCTGGGTGAGGGGCTGAGGGCCGTTTTCAGGCTGGAAATCCCCCCGGCGACGGAAGCTCTCAGCCTCTCCTTTTTTCCTTTTTTATTCTGGGATTTATTTACCTTCTATAATTGAAACTTTGTAGCCTTGAGAGGAGCTCAGAGACGGCCAGGGCAGGTGGGAGGGAAGCTTGGCTTTCTCCATCGCCAGGGGCAACCCACTCTAGCTCGCTCCAGCTCTGTGGCCACTGCTGGCTGAAAGCAGGTATCTGGGGGTTTATTTACCTTCTATAATTAAAACTTTGTTGCTTTGAGTGGAGCTCAGAGCCGGGCCGCGGCAGGCGGAAAGCTTGGCTTCCTCCATCATTGGGGCAACCAAGCCTCCTGCTTACTCCAGGTCTGTGGCTGCCGTTCGCCATCTGGTTGGGTTAATTTGCATATAGCTGCTCTGATTGGCTGGTGGGCGTGGCTCAAGGTGTAGCAAAGGTATGGTCAATTTGCATGTTTGTCTTTTATTAGTGTAGATATATATTTCATTTTACCTTCCCAAATAACTATATGAAATAGGTACTATTTTTTCCCATTTTACAGAGAAGAATGGTGAGGCACAGAGATGTTAAGTCTCTTAGCTAAGTCATATGCTGTAATATGCAGAAGTGAAATTTGAACCCACACTTTAACCACTGTACAGAGGAAGAAGGGAGCTCATTCCTGGCAGAGGGAAAAGGACCTAAAGGATAAAGGACTCTGTCTAGTCATGATAAATATTTAGTCTTAACAATGCAAACAGCAGAGGAGCAAAGGAGGCTGTACTCTAGTAGTGACACAATGGAGTATGGGCCATTAAGAAACAGCTCCCAAAGCTCTTCCAAATGTGAGCTGTATATCATTGGGCAAGTTACTTAAGCTCTGTGTGCCTCAGCTTTCCTATCTGTAAAATGAAAATAATAATAACTACCTCAGAATTTTGTACAAAGGATTATATTACTATTTATAAAGTGATTAGGATATTGCTTGGCATGTAGTACTTGCTAAAATAAGCAAGCAAATGAATACTACAAGTGGCAGACGATGCTGGGGGCTGTTGTAATATGCCAGGTAAGAAATGATGAAGACCTAAGTAAGCAGTAACAGCAGAGACAAAGTGAGATCTAAATTAAGAAATTTCTCAGGTAGAACAAAAGTATTTGGTGGGCATTTAGACTTGGATGGGGGCAGGGCAGTGGTATGTGGTAGTGCCTAGGGGAATATCCAAGACCACCCTAAGCTCTGACACCAACTATAGGATCAGGGTCCCCATGACCACTTTCAGGTTTACTTATTAGCTAGGAGGACACACAGAACTCACTGTTATACTCACGCTTATGGTTATGGTTTATAACAGCAAAAAGATATGGATTAAAATCAGTCAAGGTAAGAGATGCATGATGCAGAGGGCAGAAAATTTCAAAGCATGAAGCTTCCAGGTGTCCTCTCCAGTGAAACATGAGTAAGGATAACTTCCTTGCCACAATGTGTGATAATTCACATAGGAGTACTGCCAACTATGGAGGCTCAGTGTCTACATTTTATTTTGCCTCAGCCATACAAAAATGATAGACAGCCTTATGTGGCCGATCGCTGGCCCCTCAAGAGGTTGGAGATCAAAGGTCACAGGCCAAGCTGATGTTGTGGCCCAGAGCCCTCACCATAAATCATATTGTTAGACTTTACTGTGTGACTTAAGCCCCCAGGAAAACAGACACTCTTAGGCAGGGTATGGCAAGGACTGAGACCACCTCTAAGGACCTGAGGGAAAATGCCAGACCTGTTTTTGAGTAAAGGTCATTCTTTACTGCAAAGGCAGTGAAGGTGTGGAAAAGAGAGGAAACTAGATGGATGGGTTGCCTTCAGCTGAGATAAAGTATGCAAGTAGCAAATACAAAATAGAATTGGAAAGGAAAAATAATAATATGCTTTTGAGTTTGCTTGGCATAGAACTAAATAAAGTTACCAGAAAACACCTAGAAGTATCGGACTGAAGCCTGGGAAGGACTGGATAGCTTGAAATGACGGCATAGTGAGGGAAGTTTATAGACATGCCATGAGGGGCCTCACTGAAGGAGAACATGCAGGCAACAGGTAGAGCAAAAACAGAACCAGGGTAAACTCCAACTGATAGAGTTGCTCAGAAGGTGACTGTGCAAGAGTGTTCATTACAAAACAATAAAATTAAAATAAATACTAAATCTTCTCCTCTACCACAGGAAACTGAAAATACTGAGCAAATTACTTTCTAGGTAGGACTAAAATACCCTCGCCTTTTCCTGGATGTAGACTGCAAACTAGATTGTACACAACATTATGTCTTGCAAATAAACCATCAAAAAACAGAAATATTTTTTTCTTCCCCCATGCTATTTTTCATGCTCAGACTACTTTCTAAACTGAGAAAGCCTTTATTTTGCCTATGGCAAATTTAGCACATGGTTATGCAAAACTTAAATTACCATGAAAACCCAACAAAAAGGTAGATGAAGCAGAAGGCACAGCTAATTAAATGGATTTGAGGTTCACTGCTCATTTTGTTTAGGGTCAAGTAATACTTTATAAATTTGTCTGAGCATATTAAATACAAAAATAACTCATTACAGGGTATGGGCAGCCAGATTACTATAAAGTCTGCAGACAATATACCTCCTGAAACCTGTGGTTTTTAAAAAACCATCCATGTATGTATAATTACATCACAGGTATGAGAAGCATACAGAATAGAAGTTGGCAGTGGGAGTTCCTGAGTCAGAGCCTGGACACAAATCTCAGCTCTGCCACTTACTAGGTGGATGAACTTAGGAAAGTTACTTAAATTCCATCCAGTTTCCTCAGGCTGAAAAATGGGAAACAAAGCTCCTAAGTTCATTCTGAGGATCACAGTTAGTGTTGGGCAGCACGTAATAAGCATGCAACAGGAGTTTGGTTACTTGGTTCAATACATTGCATACTGAAAACCTCATGAATTTACTGTTCACTTCACTATCCATTCTTGCTCATTTATTCTCTATGACAGAAAATACCTATTTTAAAAACTAGTTTTGAAATAAAAAGCACAAAAATAAAGTACATTTTCATATCACAGTATTTACAAGTTATAAAACCTGCTTAATTTGTCCTAAAATTATCTCACAATCACCTCAGACTGAATCTCTTTGTTTTAAAAAGTGCTTTAAACTTCCTTTGTATAGAAGGAACTGCTATTGAGTTGACCCAAGAAGAGATGACTAAGACAGCCATCTGATCAAGTTCCAGATATTATCTATAGCTGCGTCACTTTTCTTCCCTGAGCAGAATGCACCAGGTTTTTGTCCCTAACTTCACAAGCAATGCTCTCTTCCCTCCGTCTAAAATGTCTGGCTCCTTTTGCCAAGGTAACTACAGACAGTCCTCGGATTATGTCGGACTCGACGTACGTCGTTTCGTGGTTACGTCGCCATCTCCCATTTATTTATATAAAAAAAGTTCCATCATTTTGACGTATGTACATACGTGCTTTATGCTTTTTATTATTTATTTACCACAAGTAAAGGTCAGGAATTATCTTTCTTTTAAATTTTTTTTACGGTTTCACTCATTACTGCTGCGTATGTGCTCCATGTGAGTGACGCAGGTGCGTATGTAGGTGGGTTCCGACTTACGGCGAAAATCGCATTACGTTGCGCCTTAGGAATGGATCTCCGACGTAACCCAAGGACCTGCTGTATATAAGTCACAAGACCTGACTGCTCCTCAGGCCTTTGCTGGCACCGTCAGATAAGCCCAGGTACTCTGCCTATTTCTATCAGGACACTTACGGACTTAGAGGTTTACATAGCTTCAACCATGCCCCTCCCCCCCGCGACCACAGACTAAAAGCGCAGTGAACACAGGGACTGTCTTGCTCTTTGCATCCCACAGGGCACAGTAAGCGAAGGGCTCAGTGTGAAGAGCCCAGAGAGTAACATTCCGAAAAAGGAAAAACTCACTAAACACACACATCAGACTTCCCTCACTTACTTCTAGGGGTTCAATGCTTACCTGTTTTCTATGATACATTTAAGGAATCTGTGTCTTATATGTGTGCGCAAGCTCCCGTGTGTGTTCAAAACATCGCTGCCATACGGAGGGAAGAAATAAGATTGCCAAAAAAAACAAAAAATAACAACTTTAACGAAGATAAAGCAGTGCTGGCTTTAAAGATGTGCTGTATTATCTTCTGGATTTCAGAAACAGGTCAAACATCCTCAAAAGCTTAAAAGGGATTTCTGTTACAGTATAGCTAATTTTGTCAAATTGGTGGGCATGCCTGTGTCAAAGATCAAAGCAACTGTTGAAGGCAAGGGCGTAACAACTTGTGTTTGCTGTCACTGCAGCTTCTACCTCCCTGCCTGTGTCCCTATGACTTCTCCTCCTCCTCCTGGCTCTTCCCTTCTGCAGCCTCGGGAGGCATCGCGCCAAGGTTAGACCCCGCTCTTTCAACCCTCACAGCGCCCTCCCCTCCCCTCGACGGCTCCTTTCTTACTCTCTGGCAAAGAACTGAATAATTCAGAGTGAATTTGACCAACCTTGCTGCGCTCCAGGCCTCTCCAAGTTCTCTGGAATACTGTGTGTCAAAATGGTCCAGGACCACTTTGCAGAGCTGTTTGGCAAGCTTCCCCTCTGGTTTTGCTGTCAGCTATGATGATAAGAAAAAGTTGCTGACACACCTTTGATACTACAAATTTACTGAACTTCCAGATTAGCAGTCTTTTTTCTTAAGGGCACTTCAGATAATTACCAGTTCTTGCACTGGGAGCAGTACCTCACACACGAGCAAACTGTACTACCGTGCTCGGCCTACTGCTTTTAAAAAGTGTCTCTCCAGTCGACTATGGCTCCGATGTACAGCAATGGCAAAAGCAGAGTCTAGCGCTGTGAACGCAGGAAGCCAACGGAGGTAATCATTTTAGATGTTAACATTAGGGGGGACTGGGTGAAACGCATATGGGAAGTCTGTATTATCTTTGGAACTTTTTGGTAAATGTAGTTATTCCGAAATAAAGTTCATTTAGAAGAAAAGTCACTGGTTTCCTCGGAGACTTCCTTGCAATTCTGTTTCATTTACGCGTCCAGGAAAGGCTTACGGAGGGACGACTAAGGAACCGGCACTCTCGGCGCTCCCAGGCTGAGCGGGCCGGAGGGCGCCCGCCCCCGAGGAGCCGCCATCCAGCTCAGCCGACGGCGCAGGTCCTGCAGCCCGCGCGCGGGGTGCACAGGTTACCTGCGGCGGAGGTGCGTCTTGGACGAACACCACGGGCAGCGCTCACGAGCTAGCCTTCTGGACAGTGAAACCAGAGAAACCCGGGGATCCCCCCAGTTCCCGAGTCCCAGCGCCCTCCGGCCCCGCCCAGGCCCTTCCATAAGCGTCCGGCCCGACCCTCACCCGGGCCAACATCATCCCGCCAGGCGATGCCAAACAAGAGGTCTCCACCGTCCGACATCTAAAGCACCAGGGAACCAAAAGCGCCCGGCTTCGGCGTTTCGCCGGAATTCCCTTCCTAGACGTACTTTCACCTTCTCGCGAGATACTGCTTTGCCAGCGTTATCGAAATCTCGCCAAAGTGGTGTAGGTCCCGCGAGAGGCACTCGCGGAGTTCCTTCCATCCGCGGCTGGAGGAGGCGGAGCCTACCCCTGGGGGCGTGGCCGGGGCCCCTGGGCGGGGCCCCTGGGCGGACCCGCCTTAGAACTCCGGCCGCGCGCTGAGCCGGCATTTTTTGTGCTCTTGGGGCTCCGTAAAAATTGTTTTTAAATGTTCTCAGAGGCGAAGCTAGTTGCCGAATCAATCTACCAAATCTCATTTCGTCTCCTTTAGCCCAGATACGCAGAACTCAGGATAAAAGGATGGATAAGGTGAAAGAGAAATGTCACATTTCCTAGAGATGGCCCATGGGGTAATCTTTTTCTTTTAATGAGGGTTACATGATCGAATTGATTAAAATAAACAAGTAGAGCGTTTAGCGCAAAGGCTAGGAGTCAGTGAACGCTCGAATGTTAGCTGCTGCTGTGCATTATTTTCACTATCATGATTTTTATGATTATCACGTTCTGATACCAAATGCCTGAAGTTCAGAACGACCCACACACCGGCCCCCTCCCCTGTGCTAGGGGCGGTGTTACCGGCTCTCAGGTGAGGGGCTGCAGTTTGTTCTTTAAATGCTACTTTTCAGCTGCTCCCTTGTAACAGCAATCAGCAGCCTAACAGAGAAAACCAGTGCTTAATGTGATCCCTGGTATTTAATGAGCATCATGATTTTGAGACCCTGACACTCAAAGTATCAGTGTAGGTGTGTAGGCTATAGGTGCAAATCTTAGGACCATGTAAACAGGTAAATGTTATTACCACTAATGTGATTTGAAACTTAATTTATTTATTTAAACAAGTTCTCCAGGAATCTAAATATAAATTTAGATTTGGTCGTGAAAAAATATATGGTATTAAGAAGTGAAATGAGCACTGTGAATATGCTTAAACTACAAAGCATATTCACTTTCTAGAATACAGCATCTTAATAAGTTACTACTAAGCAGAAAAGTATTTTTTTACAATCTTAAGCAATTTTATTGTTAAGTCATTTATCTAAGAAATGTTTCAGAATAAGTATACATCATAGACTCTCTCCTATACTGTTTATGGATATTCATATTTACATAAGACATCTCTCCAAAAACTTCATGTTTATATAGAGGTTTATGTGTCAAAAAGTAAAGATAGACTTTATAATAAAACAATCTGACATTAAGAGAACATTAAGCCTGGCCGGTTTGGCTCAGTGGATAGAGCGTCAGCCTGAGAACTGAAAGGTCCCAGGTTCGATTCCGGTTCAGGGCACATGCCCGGGTTGTGAGCTCGATCCCCAGTGGGGAACTTGCAGGAGGCAGCCGATCCATGATTCTCTCTCATCATGGATGTTTCTATCTCTCTCTCTCCCTCTTCCTTCCTCTCTGAAACAAATAAAAATATTTTTTTTAAAAAGAACATTAAGATGGCAGAAAAACACAGGAGACACCTGCCATCAAAGCAGGAGAACCACGCTAGTTACAGGCACTTGGACTTGGACTTCAGGTGAGCAGCTAGTTAGCTGAGGCTCTCAATTTAGGCTTCCAACGCCATGTGTACAAATCCCAGCAGACAACCCACTGAGAGTGGGAAGTAAATGTAATAACTTGTATTTTAATTTTATCTAATCTTTAAAAAATGTTTTGGGGGATATATGTATGAAATGCAATAGACCACCGCATATAACGATTACGGGCTGAAACGTATCCCCTCAAAATTCGTATGTTGAAGCCCTTAACTCCCAGTCCCTCAGGATGTGACATATTTGGAAAAGTGTCTTTCCAGAGTCGATTAAGTTAAAAGGGGGTCGTTAGGGTGGATCTGACTAGAGTCCTTATAAAAAGAGGAAATTTGGACACGAGGGGAGAACCTACTCAGAGACAAGGCCATGTGAAGACACAGGGGGGCGGCCATCTGTGAGCCAAGGAAGAGAGGTTCCAGAAGAAACCATCCCTACGCCTTGACCTGGCATTTCAGACTTCAGAATTATGAGAAAATAAATTGCAGTTATTTAAGTCACCCGGTCTACTCAAAATGCTACTGAAAGGGATGCATTATTATAAAATTTGAAGACCACTGGTTCATTCCCTAACTCACATATTCTGTTTCCTCATCAGCACACAGAAGAAATTTACAACTCAGGTTCTAAACATGCAAATGATTTTTGTCCTGATTTTCCTTTAATTATAAGCTAATCCCCTTATTAAAGGAAATTCATTTATGATTTCCTATTTTTTTTCTCAAAAGAGGGCTTTTAGTCTTCTGTTTCCACAAAGCTATAGGATTATCACTATTTTGTGAATTTATACATTTTAATATGCATTTTGAAATATCTGAATTTTTTGTTCTTTGGATGAGCTGGACTATATATATTTTTTCTTTTTTTGGACTCTATTTCTTGGTAAATTAAATAGTCATTATTAACAGAATTTGATTTGCAACATAAACTCCTCTTATAGAAAAACTTATAGCAAAAGGTATTGCAATTTATAAGTTACAGCTTCAGTTTCAGTTTTGATAAATTTTTGCTACCTGGAAGCATTGGTTTCTTTAGTGTGGAATGGGAGAAATTGAATAATATAAATAGCTTGGCATATAGAACCAAGTAAACTAAAATATTGTCTTAGTAAAAGAACACTTAGTAAGAAATCAACTGCAAATATACTGACTGGCATATTCTACAGTTGAATGTCTCTGAGTTACTGACAGGAAGTTTTACATATTAAGTGAATTCTATATAGTCCTTCATATGACACTTCAACGAGTATTTAATTTTAAACTTGCATAAAAATTTCAAATTTTCTTTCCTATTATAAAAGTAAGCAAAATTATAAAAATTAGTTTGAAAATTTGAGGAAAAAACACAACCAATAACTCTAAAACAGATACTATTAGCATTTTGCAACACTTCTCTCTAATGTTGTTTCCATACCGTTTTATAATTGAAATCAATTATACACAATACTAGAGGCCTGGCGTATGAAATTCCTGCACTGGAGTGGGGGGTGTCCCTCAGCCGAGCCTGTGCCCTCTCGCAGTCTGGGGCTCTTGCAGTCCGGGACCCCTCGCTCCTTACCTCTCACCTGCAGCAGAGGCGGGAGAGGCTCCTGCCCCTGCCACTGAGCTCTCCAGCCGTGAGCCTGGCTTCTGGCTGAGCGGTGCTCCCCCTGTGGGAGCACACTGACCACCAGGGGGCAGCTCCTGTGTTGAGCATCTGCCCCCTGGTGGTCAGTGCAAGTCATAGTGACTGATCATTCCGACAGCCGTTCTGCCATTCAGTCAATTTGCTTATTAGGGTTTTATTATATAGGATTGTACATGTTATTTATGCATTTTACATATAAAGGCATATAGAATTATTTTTCATATAAGTAAAAACATATCTTTTGGTCAGTAGCTTTAACTTAACAAATGACAGACATCAAATCATAGAGAATCATAAGATGATTTTTAACTGTCTTTAAATTATTTCCCACATATATGAAACCTTTTGCAAATTTTTTCCATGTAAAATAGCAAAAAATTATTTTAATCTATTGACTAAAATGTCTTTCAACAATTATATTTTAAAAGCTTTCTATTATTTTATTATCTCAAAGAAATAATTTAAATTTATCAAATGATAAGAAAAAACAGCATACTAATATAAATTATGTTTATTGTTGAAATTGCCATAATTTATGATATGTTAATAAAAATGCAGCATATAACAAAATAGACATTTAACTGTTAAAAGCCACCTGGATTTACAAAACTTCTTTTAAAGTATTTTTAGAATCCTTTAAGAATACAAATTAATTTTTGAGATATATAAAACATGAATTCTGCTTCATTATTTAATTTCAAAATTATTTTAATTAAATGGGCTCAGTGATTATTGTATAGTACAGTAACCACAAATTTAAAAAAAAACATTTATTCTCAAATTAGATGAATTTTAAAAAGATGGCAAAAGTATGAGTTTAGTTTTTTTTTTAAATGAAGAAATGTAAATGTTACAAAAGAAACCAAAAAGATATACAAATGAGTTTTTTCTCTAAAATCCAGTTCAAAATTTATATCTGTCTCCTTGTGTTGATTTTCCTTACATTTCAGCTGCCTATCACATTTAGGTTGTTACGAATTTTATGTCTGAAGTAGAATGCTAGGTGGGTTCCATGTACAAAACTCAAAAAAGCTGACTCGAGTAATAAGTGACCTGATTAATGAAAGTTCAGGAAGTTTAAAATGCAAATAAATGGTGATGCTCTCAAGTAAAACTTTCAAATAATCACACTAAACTGCCTTCAACATACTTCTCATATTATTGTCAGTACAAGTTACCAAGTTAACCAATTTTGACAAGGTTATATAGGAATCATACCGTTTGTAGTATTTTTACCGTGACAGAAATATGTGCTTTCAATTAAATGCAACATTATGAATCTACTCTTCAAAACATACATCTAAAAGCCAGACAAATAAAGAATCCTATAGATGCCATTCTTCTGTGCAAGAGAAATGCTATTATTTTAAAATGAGAAATTATTTTGGAATTATTTATAAAAATTATTTTGGAATTGTTTCTTCATTCTTGCTTTAGTACCCAAGTATATCCCTGTTATGAAACACAAGTTTCTGAAACTTCAATAGCTTTTCGGTCTTTTTGCCTTTAATTTCAAGGCACTAAAGAATTACAATAACCTACGAGTCATTGTAGCTGCTGATAGACAAAGGAGTGACAAGGAGAAATGATCTCTGAAGGGTTTTACCTTTTAAAGAGGGGCTTATTGGGACTTTTAATAATATCTCACATAACCTTTTTATTTCATTTTTCAAGTCTCTTTTATTAGGATCATCATCAAAGAAAACAACAACAAAAAATTGAACTTTCTGCTTGGGTAGTGCTTTCAAGTAATATAATTTGTTAGAATAGAGATCTGAGAATCTATTTTTAAAAAGTATTATTTTAAAATTAGGTCAAATTAGTATGTATACTTCAAGAACAATACTATTATAAAACATACCTCAAAACATATAAATATATCGTTTGTATAGTTAATGTTTGTCCAGTATACCAACTCTATTTTCCAGATACAATTTAAACAAAGCATCTATAGAAAAGTATACTGTCAATATCATAGTAATAAAATTCTTAAACAAAAGTTTTAGAAAAATATAAAAAGTTAAAAATTTAGGTTATAAATTCCCAAGAGTTCCTCTTCCATGCACATGTATCTTACAAAAAAGGTTTACGGTACAGAAATAAAGACTATTAAACAAATAGTAATGAAAGTGTGCAAAGTCCACTGGCTTTTTCTGAAAGGTTTTCCTTCAGGAATATGCCCAAGAGTGGGGATGTATAAACCAGAGTCAATACTAACTCCTGCTAATTTGATACATAATGCTCATCCCATCTGCTGGTCTTTTTGCTTCCTTTTTTTTTTATTAAACCATGAACAACATGAATAAGTAATTATCAGATCAGTGAGATCTTTGGTTATCAATCTCCTTGCTGAATTGCTATGGTAATCTTGCCCCAGCCATCAATGTACAGGGTTTTTCTTTTTTGAGAAAGAAGGTCTTCTAGGTCATCTTGCTGATATTAAGGCAGCTCATCCATGCAACTTGGTTATGAGATCATGTCATGAGCATCACCGTTTGGTCTCTGTCGCACCGCCAGCGGAGGCAGTGGCTTCCCATAAAAATCTATGTAGAGGAGGAATAATAAAAATACCAAACAGTTATGGTAAATAAATATTTCGGACACAATTCATCATTTGCCAACTAATACCTTAAAAAATAAAAAGAGATCTGACTTGACAGATGAAGCAATGGGAGAAAATCACAATCAAACTCAAAGAAAACTTGAATAAATTTAAAAGACAACCATAGAGTAAATTCTTAACTCTGGATTATAAATTAATCTCTACTTCATTTAATAAAAAGTTGTACCTAATGTATACATTATATTTTTGTTTCCAATTACACATTCACATTAGAACATATTTTAATTTACATAATTTCAGAGTATAATAAAATAGGAACTAACCTATCATAGTCAATAAAAGCATTGTGATGTAAAGTCAGTCAACCAAACAGATGTGATTTCACTGTAATTCTGATATAGCCTAAGGACAAACTTTTCTGTCTGTATTTATTTATTTTATTGATTTTGAGAGAGAGTGAAAGAGAAACATCAATTTGTTGTTCCACTTCTTTATGTATTCATTGGTTACTTCTTGTATGTGCCCTGACAGGAGATTGAACCCATAAATTTAGCACATCAGGATCATGCTCTAACCAACTGTGCTACTGGCCAGGGCCAAACTTTTCTGTTTTTAGAAATGAAAATAAATATTTTAAAGAAATATTTCATTACTGACCTATAGTATTCTAAAAAGAAAGCAAAGAGCACATTTATATTTATATACTCTTTGAATAAAAGTATTTTATACAATTTCAAATTATATAGTAAAATAAAGCTTTTTTAAAGATTACAATTCTGACTTTTTTTTTTTTCTAATAGATGGGTCTCTGTAGGAAACCAAACTCTAGATTAGGTAAACAGAGTCATCAAAAAGCAAATTGCATGAACATACAATGGAGTCAAGACAGCCTCTTCAATAAATGGTGTTGGGAAAATTGGACAGATACATGCAAAAAAATGAAACTAGACCACCAACTTACACCATACACAAAAATAAACTCAAAATGGATAAAGGACTTAAACATAAGATGGGAAACCATGAAAATACTAGAGGAATCCATAGGCAGCAAAATCTTAGACACATGCCGAAGCAATTTCTTCACTGATACTGTTCCTAGGACAATGGAAACTAAAGAGAAAATAAGCAAATGGGACTACATCAAATAAACAGCTTTTGCACAGCAAAGGAAACCATCAACAAAACAACAAGAAGCCCCACTGCATGGGAGAACATATTTGCAAATGTTATCACCGATAAGGGTTTAATCTCCAACATTTACAGGGAACTCATACAACTTAACAAGAGGAAGATAAACAACCCAATCAAAAAATAGGCAAAAGACCTAAATAGATACTTTTCAAAAGAAGACAGAAGAAAGGCCAAAAGACATATGAAAACATGTTCAAAGTCACTAATCATCTGAGAGATGCAAATCAAAATGACAATGAGGTATCATCTCACACCTGTCAGAATGGCTATCATCAACAAATCAACAAATGACAAGTGCTGACGAGGTTGCAGAGAAAAAGGAACACTCGTGCACTGCTGGTGGGAATGCAGACTGGTACAGCCACTGTGGAGAACAGAATGGAGTTTCCTCAAAAAACTAAAAATGGAACTCCCATTTGACCCAGTGATCCCACTTCTAGGAATATATCCCAAGAAACCAGAAACACCAATCAGAAAGGATATATGCACCCCTATGTTCATAGCAGCACAATTTACCATAGCTAAGATTTGGAAACAGCCTAAGTGCCCATCAGCAGATGAATGGATTAGAAAACTGTGATACATCTACACATTGGAATACTACGCTGCTGTAAAAAAGAAGGAATTCTTACCATTTGCAACAGCATGGATGGAACTGGAGAGCATTATGCTAAGTGAAATAAGCCAGTCAATGAAAGAAAAATACCACATGATCTTACTCATTTATGGATAATAAAGACCATTATAAACTGATGAGCAAAAATACAGAGGCAGAGCAGCATGGAACAGACTGTCAAACTACAGCAGGAAGGCCGGGGAGGGTTGCAGGGGGAGGGTAAGAGATCAACCGAAGGACTTGTATGCATGCATATAAGCATAACCAATGGACACAAGACACTGGGGGGTAGGGGAGGACAGGGGAAGGTCAAGGGGGTAAAAAAAGGAGACATATGTAATACTCTTTGTAATACTTTAAGCAATAAAACAAAATTAAAAAAAAAGAACGTAAAAATAAAAATTCCATTTTGCTAGCACTGTCTCTACATTAGGAATGGAGTTACTACTTTAAAATAAATAATGAGATACTTAAAAAAATAAGATACTCAAAATTTTTTCACTGGTTCTCTACTACCTACAAATAAAGTTTGAATTCCATAAAAAAAAAAAAAAGAAACTAGAAACACCAATTAGAAAGGATATATATACACCCTTATGTTCATAGCAGCACAATATACCATAGCTAAGATTTGGAAACAGCCTAAGTGCCCATCAGCAGATGAGTGGATTAAAAAACTGTGGTGCATCTACACAATGGAATACTATGCTGCGGTAAAAAAGAAGGAGTTCTTACAATTTGCAGCAGAATGGATGGAACTGGAGAGCATTATGCTAAGTGAAATAAGCCAGTCAGAGAAAGATAAATACCACATGATCTCACTCATTTGTGGAATATAATGAACAACATAAACTGATGAACAAAAACAGATCCAGAGACAGAGAAGCATCAATCAGACCATCAAACCTCATAGGGAATGTAGAAGAGAGTGGGAGTAAGGGAGAGAGATCAACCAAAGGACTTATATGCAAGCATATAGGCCTAACTAATGGACACAGACAACAGGGGGGTGAGGGCATGAGTGGGGGGGGGGAGGATAGGGGGTATCGTGGGTATGAGGACACATATGTAATAACTTAATAAAAAAAATAAAAAAATAAAAGCATAAATACAAATAAAAAAGCAAATTGGATGTTATTGATGGAGAAATCTATTGAGCTATAATATACATATATTATCCTTTTTGCATTCCAGAAATGTATCTTTGAAAGAATTTGGGCTGATGGTCTAAAATCAGAAATTCTGCCTGGTACAAGGCAGTCCTTTACTCCCAAAGGCCCTTTCTCTAGTTTTCCAGTTGTGGAGTTCTAATGCCATATGCTGGCTAGATTATACCTTATGTCAATTTCATCTAAAGAAAATTACTTTCTTGAGGCAATAAAGCCCTCGTAACTTTCTAGTTAGCTGAAGTTTATTTGGTATACTTTGATTAGTCTGATTCTACAACTGTGTTGATCTTTTTACTTCATTTTAATATTCAGCAGGTTGGTGTCTTATTAGAAGCAGAGGAAGAACAATTATATGACATCATTCAGTATACTGAGTACATACATATAAGACAATGCAGTTTGTAAGCACTATAATTTTAATGTCTATTTAATTTAAATTGCTGTAAAGCTTTTCCCTATCCATTACTATTTACATAAATAAATAATGGATAAACATTTTTATCTCTGTATTCTAAGGTAAACATCAATTCAAATTACTTAGAGGCAAAGGGGCATTAAGAATAAAAAAATTAAATAGAAAAAGAAGATGTATAATGAAAAAGGATGGTTGTGGATTTGAAAGGCTTCCAAAAATAAAAGTTTGCTGAAGTAATGAGGTAAAGAAAAGTGAATGTAATATGTACAGATATTTGAAAACTGATCCTTTTGCATTACCATTATGACGTGTTTCACCAAGAGGCTCAAGTTTTGGAAGTCTAGTGACTTTGGGGGTTCCCCAGCCAACTAAAGAAAAAGAAAAACATTTAAAACACTGTTAAATAATGTATCTTTAGGTTGGTTGAGAGGATCCCTCCCTAGACAGGAATGTATGTAACATTTAATGTCAATTCATATATACTGAATGACACAGTACTGAATAGCCATAATCCCATTTTAAATTACTTCTATTTTAAAATATCATTGTAGGCTGATAACATTTGCTTTAAATTTTTATTTGCCTTCAGTTAAAAATATAATCATCTTCACTACTACCATAAATAACCTTAGGCTATTGTTGTAACCGCTACCAGAAGCTATAAGAAATGTTTACTTATTAAATGGAATACTAGAAATGAGTCTTCAAATAATTCTCAAAGGAAAATGTTACCATATAAAGCCTTCTGGCTGAGCTAAAAGGACACTATAAACATATATGTTTAGATATTTATTAAGCACCTATAGTATATGAGGTTCTGTGTCTAGTGCTGAAAAATTACAAATATTATGCAGCTAATAAGTCCCAGGACTTTACCTGCAGTATTCCATTTAATTCTCATAACAAACTTAGAAGGTCAGTATGTAAATTGAAAATATAATTGAAAAATTCACATATGTTGGTTTCAAGTGTTTACTTTCAGGATGAAAGATGCAATTTTTTAAAAGCTCATATTAGCCATCCATTCAATAAGCTTAAATTCCTTTTAGCATCTGTGCACTGATATTTTAAATTAGATTGAATCCATTCTAGGAAGTGCCTGCGTAAGATTTTTTAATTAATTTTTACTTATTTTTTTTACAAAACTTTACATTTTTTATTGTTAAAAAAGCAATAGGTAACTTATGTTGATAAAATATGAACAAAAGAGAGCAAAGAACTCTAACTTTTCACAAATTTACAAGATAATGAATATACTGAATAAAAACTACACAATTTCTTCCTTTTTCTTCATTGTTTAAAGCAGTATTTATAAATTCAGTATCGATATTAAATTACTCACCAGGAGGGGGCGGCGGGGGTGGTACTGGGCTCTTAGGAGCAGAGTCATCTGTATTCACAGGTTCTACACGGTGACTTCTTTTTATTCTTAGTTTCTTAGTTTTCTTTTTACTGTTATCTACAGAATTGAAACATGGAATTGGGAAAATTAAACTTCTATAATAAAAATTAAGAACAAAACTAGAATATTGATATTATTACCATAGAAATATACCTTCAATTCAACCTTGAAATTATTACTAGTAATGAAATATGAACTTGCTTTTACTAAAAATTAAGCTATTAATGTTTCCTTATTAAATAATTAATGAATATGATACAAATAACAAAAGCCTGTATTCTAAGTTCTAAAAGAAGTTATTCGGAATACAAAGAAAGTTCATATAATATATTCTAGGTATAAATAGTCCAAAATAATTCTTTGAAATGTGAAAAAGACCCCAATCAAACCTAAACACATTACCCATTAAAATAACCCCCAAATAAGGTATGCCCAAATATATATATAATCAAAACCCACATTAGACTTTGCAGAACTGAACTTTTGTTCTTTGAAAAAAAATAATTACAGTGTAATTACATTTTAAGGACGTGTATGCTGTTAACATGTAGACTTTAACAATGTAAGTCAAGATGGCATAGTCGTTAAATAAACAAACATTAAAGTTACCGAAATATTTTCATTGACAATCCCAAACTTACTTTATATACTATATATTTTCTAACATGGGAATTATCTATTACTTAAGAAATTACTTTTTAAAATGTATACACACTGTAACAGCTGATAGCTCAATTTTGAAAATGAAATGTATTTTAATAAACACTGCCTTTATAACTACTCAAAGTGTGTGTATACATTTTGTAGTCAACATCTACAAAACCTACAAAGCAATGAGAAATACAACAATATTTAGAAACATATTTTCTAAATCAGTTAGTGTAATTTGACACATTGACTCCAGATAGAAACAAAGACATCTTTCTATAATTAGAGCTGCAAGCTTTAGAGCTAGAAGAAAGGAACGAGAGCCTCCATAATGATACGGTACTTTAGGATGGACAGCAGTTTGGGTCATGAAAGAGTATGCAAGATAGACCACATGATCCGAGGTGGGGTCTCAGCACAGCCACAGACAAGATGTATGATTTTAAATGCCATAACCGTCTATAGACACTTTAAAAAATAATTTTTCATGAGAAATTTCAACTGAAAATATTCAAGAACCTCAGAATTATGAGTAATATATTTACTTTTATAATACTTGCAAACTTACAAAAAGTATAACTTTCAAATCTAATTATTGCTATATAGCAAAATATCCATGTTAGCTAATCTATACCTCAAGATTGAAATCTTATTTTTATAAACTTTTTGAAACTACATAAAAATTCTCATATATAATGGAACCATACCGCTAACGAGGAATGGCAAGGAACTAATTAATTAGGTAGCTCCCATGTGTCAGGCCCATGCTCGAACATTGTAGAGTTATTCTTACTATAAGTAATCCTTAAAATCCCTCTAAAAATGATGCTTATTTCCATTTGAGAGATGAGGAAGATTGAAGAACATCATATAACATAGCATGTGTCTAGTACCGTGGTCGGCAAACTGTGGCTCGCGAGCCACATGCGGCTCTTTGGCCCCTTGAGTGTGGCTCTTCCTAAGCCTTAGGAGTACCCTAATTAAGTTAATAACATTGTACCTACCTACATAGTTTAAGTTTAAAAAATTTGGCTCTCAAAAGAAATTTCAATCGTTGTACTGTTGATATTTGGCTCTGTTGACTAATGAGTTTGCTGACCACTGGTCTAGTAGATGGAAAAGTCAGGGTTCTACCCCAGGTTGTCTGATTCCAGACATAGGCTGTGTCTTTATGATACCAAAAGACATGAATTTCGTGTTAAATTACATAACTACTGAGAAAAAGAAAAATAATTATGAATTGAAATTTTTTGATATTAAAATAAGAGGAAAATGACTATGTGATAAGACTTTTAGAATGTTCAACTAATTATGTTTGCATCCTACAGAAATAGCATGTCAATAAATAAAGTGAGGCTGATTATAGCATTATCAGTCTTAAAAAGAAACAAGAAAAACTTCAAAAAGGCTTAAAGGTATTTAATACATTCCAAGGATTCCTGAGCTATGCTATATTCCAAATTTATGAAAGTAAAATTAAAAATTTCTGCTGAAATTCAAGTTACAAAAGAGTACATTTTAAGACATCATAAATAAAAACATAAGTTAGCAAACTAACTAATGAGTAAAAACCATGAGAAAACCATGATAAATACTGCATTTGCAGATAAAAAAAAAATTTTTGTGTGAAAATAATGGCAGGTGAAAGAAGTATAATTAAGTTATATATGTATATCTTTTTTATTTAATAACCAGATTTACCTGATTCTGATGATGGCTGGTCTGTCTCTTCATTCTCCAACTGCTGTGTTAATGCTTCATTATAATTTTCTATGGTTGCAAACTCATTGCTTTTCTGGCTACTGTCACTGATCTGGCTCTGTGTTTCCATTTGCTCACGCTCCATTTTATTTCTCAGGGGGCAAGCATCACAGTCTTTCTCCACATTTTGCCTCTTTTTCTCTCTTTCAAGTTTTTTTTCATTCTAACAAAAATGAAATATATCATCTTTAATATAACAGTTGTATCTAAGATAATTTTAAGGGAAAAATGAAGTAATCCAAGAGCTTTCTGTACCTTCAGGGAACTGTGATATTTCCATTAAAAACTATTTGTTAAAAACATCACTGAAACATACTAATTGCCAAACATTCAGAAAAAAGATTGTATAAAGGAATGAAACAACTACTACCAGTAATTCCATAATCTAGAGATGACCACTAGTTGGTGTATAATCACTAAGAGATGTTTCTCTTTGCCTAACCGCACACGTACAGACATACACCACCCACAAACATACACAAATGTGATAGATTATTTCTCTTAATATATACATATTTATTATTTGTTTTTAAACAAAAAAGAACTAAAGTTTTAAATTAAGAATATATATATTTTTCTTAGAATAGTGCCTGACACCTCATAAAATGTTAGCTATGTAATTGACATATATGTTAGCTATGATTACTTTCACCAATTACATTATCATTTTGAATGGTTATACCATAACTTATTTTACCAATTCATAATCAATGAGCTAAGAGGTTACTTTCAATTTTCACTATTCAAAAAACACAACTATTGAATTAGTTATTTAGAATAAATTCCTAACACTAGAATTGTTGGTAATGGGTAAGCACATTTTTTAAAATGTGACACACTACAAATTTCACTTCAGAAAAACTGAAGTCAATTTACATTCTAGGCAAAAGGTTGAAACTAATAAATGTTAGTAATGTTTTTACCTTAGTGTGGGATTAACATACTGATTTCAATACTGTTTATCACTTTGAAGGTGAACTATTAAATACTGTTATTGCCATATTTCTTTTTCTTTATGGAATTACCCATGGTAACCCAATATCCACTTTTCTATTTGATTATCATTATTTTCATAGTAATTTTTAAGGGTTTTTTTTTTTGTCCTATGTGTCTCAAATATTTTTCATTAGGGTTTGGTCATTGCCTGTAAATTTGTAGAAAAGCTCCTAAAAAAATTGAATATAATAAGATCTATCTATTTTTATTTCTTGACTTGTGGTTTGATTGTCCTGCTTTGAAAGTTTTTCCTCCTCCACATATATACAAATGTTTATATTATGTGCTAGTATTTTTAAGGCTTACTTTTTAAAAATACCTTTAAGTCTTCTGGGGTTTAATTTGGTATATACAGTGTTACTAATTTTACATTTTTCAAAATGATTATTCAGTGGTCTCAATATCCTCTTCTTCCACATTTGAAATGTCACCTTTATCTTATACAAAATGGGTCAGTCATAATTATGATTATTGAATGTTTATCAATGTTCCATTAATCTCTCTGTTCTAGAACCAATACCTCACCAGTTGTATTATTTGTGGTAAAAAAAAATAAAAATAAAAGGAATGTGAGGTGCTTCTCTAAAATGCCACATTTTGAAATTGTGTGGGGGGGAAAAAAAGAAAATACACTTGGTATAAAATAGACTACAAGTAATTGGTTTTCATTTGTTTCATATATTTACTGATCATCTTCTTAAAATTATTGTAGCTTAACAGCATAGTAAGTGCACGTTCCCCATGCCACTAATTAATTCAGGGATTTTCAATATAAGATATTGTTTACATCTTTAATCAGTGAAAAATACAATGTCGGTAGAAGTACTAAGGCCGTTTCTAAGTAACCATGTATAACAGCGGTTCTCAACCTGTGGGTTGCGACCCCTTTGGTGGTCGAACGACCCTTTCACAGGGATCGCCTAAGACCATCCTGCATATCAGATGTTTACATTATGATTCATAACAGTAGCAACATTACAGTTATGAAGTAACAACGAAAATAATTTTATAGTTGGGTCACAACATGAGGAACTATATTTAAAGGGCCAGAAGGTTGAGAACCACTGATGTATAACAATAAAAGCGTAATATGGTAATTAGACCGAACGACCTTCTGGATGACCTTCCGGACGAATCAGTGGCTGGGAGGGCTGAGGCAAGCCACTGCAGCTGTCAGGGCCGAGCCCCTTGCATGAATTTCGTGCATTGGGCCTCTAGTGGTATTATAAAATTGGTCATCATTTACAAGGTGAGCTTTATTACACACACAATAAATGTTTCAAAGTTAAAAGTCAAACTTGATTTCTCTCTTCTTCATCAATATTTTTAAAGAGCATAAAAGACAACTTGACAAAAATAATATTTAATAGGATGGAGACAAAAGGAGAGCTTAAGTTATTAAGACAACTTTACTGTACTTAGAAAAGCACACAGTTAAATGCAACGGGATTAATAAAAAAAACTAAGTACCATTAACCTTCTGGTACCTAAGCAACTTAAGTACAAATAGTTCATATTGTCAATTAATTTGCAAAATAAAGCAATACCAAAATTATCCAATCATCTTCTTACCTGTGGAGCTGCCTCCCTCCTCAGCAGCAGCCCCAGGAAGAAACAATCATCCACCTTTCCAGATGAGCACCTGCGTGGAAGGAGGCAGTGACAGGGGAAGAGGAATGGAGAACATGCAGGCAGTGGGACCAACAAACCAACTGCCACATTAAGCTCTGGTGAGTGGAGGGGAAGTTGAGGAAGCTCTGCCTCTGAGGAGGCCTGGCTGCTGAAGCAGGGCAATTAAATAAAGTAGGTCTAACACAAAGTCTCTGTCGAAAATGAAAACAAAGACACAAATACAGACATACACACACACACACACACACACACACACACTTAACTTCTTCATGATTATAATCTACAAATTAATTTTGGTAAAATTTCTCATAATTAAAATAAAAATAAATCATATTTACATATAGAATTTATGATCATTTCAAACACTCTTAAGTATCCTGGGTAAACAAGTAGAAATTCATTTATGCATCTAAACATTACTGTAAAGAGATGACAGTAACAGCAATACAGGGACAAAGAGACAATATAAATAAGAGTAAATATATTACTATTATCTGAAATAAATGCCAAAAAAACGATTTATCAGAACAGTAACTATTACAGTTGCTACATTTAATCTTCATTTTCATTCTCAGTTAATTCTGAAGTCACCTTTCCTGTTTATACTAGATCCAAAGATAAATTTGAAGAGGATGAAAAAGCAGCAAACCTTAACCTGTCTCTCCCACTTAATTTTTTTAGAAATAATTGGTCTCTGATAAAACAGTTATTTCTACCTCCCTACCTGCTTTCTCAATTCCCTGCCAACTTTAAAACTTACGATATAAAAATCACATGTGCCACTATCCATACCTCAACGATTACAGTTGCTATCGGCTGGAAAGGATTCACAATAATTGGCTCTGGATCCACCTCAGCCAGACCACTGGTTCCATCGAGGTCAGCCTGCTCTCGCTCTCTCTGTTCTCTATTGTTTGAGGGAAAAAATTGTAATTCCTGAGAAAATGCTGAGCCATGTTTAAGAACACTTGCAATAGGTTTAAGTCTATTAAATTTAGTAATTTAAACATCTGGATATGGCTTTAAATTACTGATTTTCAGAAATCCTTATGCAGTTTACAGGCCTCTACCCCTGTGTAAAGATTATTCATTTGAATTTTTAAAAGACAGAAATGACAAAAATAACATTCCCTAAGACTGATTTCTTAATGTCAACAGTGCACATTAATTATCCTATGTGCTATTTATTGTATTTAGCAATTTATTAATTACCATCCCAAACCAATGCTGTCCTCTTCATTGATGTTAACAGATAAATGAGTCCTCTTGTTAACCCTCTTCTGAAGGGCTGTGTCAAATTACTTATCATATATGAACTAGGTAATGACTGCTGCTTTGCATAATAGAAGAGGCCATAAAGATAAGTTGCACTATATCACTTATATTAAGTAATTCCATACTTGTTACTACTGAAACATTTACTATCTCTGTGACTTTTAGTTAATATTACCCCATACATGAAGAGTAATTAAGTTATAAAACAATTAGCTGGTAACTAGTGTAGATCTGCAACTGGGCTGCAGGTATAGTACAGCAATGTGAATGTTCATTACTATGACGTTTATTAATTATGTCCTCTGATGGAAAGATCTATCCTTTCATTCTGAACCTAGCAAGCCAAGATTTAGAGGGCTGAAATTTATGACCTCTTTGACCTTGGACATGTACCTGGATCTTTGAATGACAGTTTTCCCATGTGGATAAAAATATCTACTTCATAGGGTTGTTTCAGCTAAAGCAATATATGTGAAAGCACACTGTATATGAACATACTTATAGGACAGTAAATGTTATTAATATTACTAATTTATTAGTAAGCAGTTTCAGGTATTTAGCATTATAATACTATTTTCAGATACCAAGAATAATTTTTTTTACAGTTTTTCAAAAATATCTGAATCTATTAGATTGGATTTAATGAAGTAAAAAGGTTGTTTTTTTTAATAACTCCTCTCTAAATGCCAATTTACTTTTAATTATGGAGACTGTGCTCAACGGGAGAGGTCTTAGACCACACGTAGCATGGCTGGGAGAAAGGAGGAAAGGGGAATGGGTATTAGAAAAGCCTGCCATCACATGACCTAGAACATCTTTATGGAAAAGGTAAGAACTTGGAGAGGGGGTGTGAGACGGGGGAAATGACTAATATCAGATTTCTTTTATCCAACTCATTATTTTTTGTTCTCTTTGTTTGTTTTCTTAATGGAAAAAAAAGCAAAGGAGTCTTCAGAAAAGTATGGCCATATATTTTATTTTTATAAGTATACAAAAGGTAGACTTACATGAACGATTGGTTTACTGAGCTTTATATCATGAAAATGTACAGTAGGATAGAATACCAAATTTCTCACATGAACTAAAACCTCATATCAGTATCAAGAGAGATCCTAGATTAATGATCTGCTCATATTATTGAGCACTTGGCGATGGGGAGTTATCGCTACAAGTATTTCTTTCCTTTAAGTCCTACCTATAAATTAAATGAAAGATACCTGTAATCAGAGGATGTCCTTTCAGAGTAAGAGAATACCTCACCAAGGCACCACCAAGGGCAGTTTAGTGGGTTCATGTCTACTAGGTTGCAAGTATGTTAGAGGACATGGAAGGCCAATATTTCTTAGTTAGATGGGAGACAACTTTAGATCTTGCAAGAGCTCACTTAAATATCTTTTGATTTCTCCCCTTCCCTATTATGCAACTATCTAGTTGAGAAAAGAAAGAGAAATCGTGGGATAAAGTACTAAATTTAACTTTTAATCAAATATGAGTACTTTTTCACAGCATTAAGATTATTAGAAACTAGAGGCCCAGTGCATAAAAATTTGTCCCTCAGCCTGGCCTGTGCCCTCTTGCAGTCTGAGACCCCTCGGGGGATGTCCACCTGCTGGCTTAGGCCCGCTCCCTGGGGAATTGGGCCTAAGCTGGCAGTCAGACATCCCTTTGGCAGCCCAGGAGCCCTCGGGGGATGTCCACTTGCCAGCGGGGAGCAGGCCTAAGCCGCAGTCGGACATCCTTAGCGCTGCTGAGGAGGCGGGAGAGACTCCCGCCACCACCACTGTGTTGGCAGCCGGCAGCCTGGCTTGTGGCTGAGCAGAGCTCCCCCTGTGGGAGTGCACTGACCACCAGGGGGCAGCTCCTGTACTGATGATTCTGTGGCAGAATTTATGAAATCATTGTTTTTTAATTCAAAGTTCACTAAATTTAGTTTGAAAGGTCCCTTTGAAAAAAATTTGAAAAATATATTTAAAAAACCTGAGACAGTATAATTTAGTTTATTTTGTGAGAAAACTAGTGTTGAAGATCAGATTTTGTTTCAGTTGATTGATCCACTATCAGCTTGCCTTCTGTCTTTGCTGAGACCAGAGAAGCATTTCTCAATAATGGACAGTGGACTCAATAATTCTCTGTTGTAGGGGACTGTCCTGTGCAGCACTAGCTGTTGAGCAGCTTCCTGGCCTCTACCCACTAGATGCCAGTAGCACTCCACCTTATCCCCAGCTGTGACAAGTAAAAATGTCTCTAGACACTGCCAAATGACCTCTGGGAAGCAAAATCAGCATACTGATCGAAAACCACTGCAATAAAGGTACTCATAAGAGATAGAAATTTTAAATCTCTTAGAAATAATAAACACATAAGGAATAAATTTAACTACCATAATACCACCAGGAAAAGTAGAATCCTGTCACCCAAACTTGTGTAGAGAAAGATCCATAAAAACAGAAAATTTGTATAGTGTCTTCCTTCAGATACAAAAAAGAAACTGAATAGACAGAACTAATAAATTATTCCTAAAATTGTGGTGGTTTTATTGTTTGTTTTCTTTTTTATGTTTTAAATGCACGGTGGTACAAAATTAATCTACTTACCTTTCCTCTCGTAATTTTCGCACTCGTTCAGCCCTTTCTCGTTTCTCTTGTTCCTCAAGAGCACGTTGCTCTGTTGTGTCCTTTTGGATGCGTTCATTTAAGGCATCAAAGTCTCTTGCAATGATATCTAGCAGCCAATAAAGGCCTTTTTTAATGGACTTGTCAATTTTCTTTCCAGATCCCAAGATTGCTGAACAAGGTTCCTGAAAAACACCAATTTATTTGGCTTAAACAGTAAAACTAAAAGTTCTCCACAAAAATCTACTCAAAAACCATTAAGTGTAATTATTGGTAAATTAAAATTAACCCATTAAATTAATGATATAAAGCACCTGCTTATTTAACTCACAAAACATACCACTGCAATGACCACTAGCATTAGTACATAGGAGCTGAAATATTTCAAGTACAATATCTGTAAGCTATGAGAGATACTATAACACAGGAAGTCAACAGTGCCAATTAAAACAAACTCACTGGAAGACAAAATCAAACTTCCAGTCCTTAAGGAATTTATAGCAGTAAACATCTTTTAAGATTGACAGTCTTAATGTCCATCTTCTGAAGCCAGAATTAATACTTAAATCTTCTGCCCATCTTTCTTAAGATTATATAACTCTCCTGATAAGATTTTTCAAAACTCATTGCAAACCTCTCATATGTTTAAATTTGATATTTATATGTTTTCTTTACCATTTACAAAATTTGCCTGGCTGGCATGGCTCAGTGGTTGAGCATCAACCTGTGAGTCAGGTGGTCACGGTTCGTTGATTCCCGGTCAGGACACATGCCCATGTTGTGGGCTCAATCCCCAACAGCAGGCAAGCAGGAGGCAGCCAATCAGTAATTCTCTCTCATCATTGATGTTTCTTCTCTCTCCCTCTCCCTTCCTCTCTGAAATCAATAAAAATATATTTTTTAAGAATTATAGCAAGACGTGTTTGTATAGCTTACAAGTCCTGTCAGCAATATCTTAAACAAAAAGCAAATCTAGAGTCTTTGAAATCTCAAAAGACAGTTTATGGAAGTCAATAACAACTACGTAGAAAACAAATATTACAATATAAAATAATAGCAACAAAACAGTGAGAATGTGATTTCCTGGGTAAAAAAAAAAAAAAAGTTCTTTTAAAACACTAACACATTATTTTGTTAGCTGTATGCCACCTAATTGCCTTTCACCTTTACAAAAACTAAGTTCTACTGAACATATTTCACAGGGAAAAAAGGAAAACAAACCCCAACACTTACTATCTGACATAGGCACTTGTGTTCATTGACCATTTTTTCCAGAGACAGACATTCAATCACATCAGCTTCTCCTAAAGCCCCTTCCTTGTCTTGTTTATTTGCCAACCTATAGAGATTATTAAATAAAGTGTTTTTATAGCAAATGTATAATCAGACAGCCACTCAAAAATACTTTCACCATGTTCTCATCCCAAAGTTTTAAACCTATTGACTACAGAATATACTGGTTTAAGAGAGTACTACAGAATCTATTTCACCATTTTTTCCTAAAATAAGTTCGTGAGAATTGACCTAAGAGAGAGAAGTCAGGTAGGTTAAGAAAACAAGCAATACGTCAATAGGCCAACGAGATAGAAAGAGACTAGTTTCGTACCCCTCAGCGGTCAATTCTAATTTTCACATTATGTCTTTATCGTCTTAAAATAATGCACCATGATGCAAATACGCTTATCTTATGTCCTTATCTTCTGAAAATACGAAATAGTCTTGTTTTAAATACTCAAATGTTCATTCTGAGCTTGTAATATTTGAGCTCATCTGTATTTCCAGTGTGTGAATGTGCCCACATAAATCATGCAATTTACTGGAGAGGTGGAGCCACTTCTGTCTCATTTACTTTGCATAGCACTGCACATAAAGAACATTATATTCAATTAGAAACAAACTGGGAAACAACAAAGTGAAAAACATCAAAAGTTCTTTATATATATATACATATACATATATGTATATATATATAATTTATTATTATTATTGATTTCAGAGAGGAAGGGAGAAAGAGAAACATCAATGATGAGAGAGAATCACTGATCCGCTGCATCCTGCTCTTCCCAAACAGGGGATCGAGCCTGCAACCCGAGCATGTGCCCTTACTGGAAATCAAACTGTGACCTCCTGGTTCATAGGTTGACAATCAACCACTGAGCCATGCCAGCCAGACCAAAACAAGTTCTTAAAAAAAAAAAAGAGTTATCACAAAATAACACAATTTGCTATCAGATGGCAGAGGTCAAACAGTTTAATAACACGCTGTCTAGGTTAGGGTTTGATAGGTATTTCAGGTGAAAATATATTATTTAATGATTATATAGAACAATAAATCTAATGAACCCTTATCACCTATTTTTAAAAATTATCCACATGGCCCGGCTGGCATGGCTCAGTGGTTGAACGTCAACCTATGAACCAGGAGGTCAAGGTTCAATTCCCAGTCAGGGCACATGCCTGGTTTGCTGGCTGGGGTTGTGGAGGAGGCAACCGATCAATGATTCTCTCTCATCATTGATGTTTCTACCTCTCTCTCCCTCTTCCTTCCTCTTTGAAATCAACCATATATATATATATATATATATATATATATATATATATATTTTAAAAATTATCCACATGGTGCTGGTTACTTTGAAGGCCTCTGGTTGTACCATTTAGTGATGTAAGATGGATCACTGGATTCAGCTGAAGTCAGCCTGATTCAGCCAAAATAGTTCCATCTAATGAATTTAGTATCCACTGATGACCTTTGCTAAATTCCATTATTTTGTAAGAGCTTATAAAATATGACTTTTCTATTTCTATATTCCTTTTGCATTTACTGGCCGAATTTTTGCTAAAAAGTAAGCTTTCATCAACTACCTGCTTACTCTTACTTAAATGCAATTTAGAGAAAAGTCGAGGTAAACCTGTGATCCTTTGGCTTCATTTCCTAATTTTCATAATAATAAACTGATGCTCTATCAACTTCCAAACGTGATCAAGTTGCTTTCTTTGGTTTGTGGGGCACACAATTATGAAATAGATTTTTAAAATACATGTTTCACTCTATTGTAGTTACTTTTTAAAGATTTTTTTCATTGATATTTTGAGAAAGAGATGAAACGGGAGGGAGAGAAGAAGAAACACTGATGTGAGAGCGAAACATTGATCAGCTGCCTCTCACACTGCCCATACTGAAGATTGAGTGGTGGGAGGGGGGTTATTTTTGAGGCTCAAAATTACACAATTTGGTCAGTGAGAGTCCCCATGGTGTTGGCTTCTGTGTTCTTCCTGTACAACTTCCAGAGTCTTTGATATCTTCTTGCTTTTTTGTAAGAAACAATATTTCATACCTGGAATCATCCATCTTCCTAAGGAGCCCTTGTTCCTTTCAGTGAGGACTGATATTTTAAAGACCACAATCTGGGTGCTATGAACTTTTATTGCTATTGACTTGCCATTGTTTCCTAGACCTTTTCAGTGGACAAAACTGAGGGGAGGGGTGTAGTTTTTTTAAGAAAGAAAAATTTAAATCATGAGCCAATATTAATTTTCCCATTTTTAATCAAATATTACCACATTCTACTTAACTTCTTAAATTGTATCACTTTTTTCTTATGCTGAAAACTATAGTTCTTAATAACGCTGACATTGACTACTTGCTTTATCCTATATAATAAAGCAGTAATATGCAAATTGACCATCACACCCTCACAAGATGGCTGCCTATGACCAGGCCGGCAGAGGGGTTAGTGAGGGACAACCAAACAACTGAGCAAGCAGGCTGCATGGGGCGACCAGGTCATTGGGGGGCCGTGAGGGGCAGCCAGGCCAGAAGTGGGGACAGTTGGGGGTGACCAGGCCAGCAGGGGGGGCAGTAGGGGGCAACCAGGCCAGCAGGGGGGGAAGTTAGGGGCAACCAGACTGGCAGAGGGGGGTAGTTGGGAGCAACCAGGCCAGCAGGGGGGGCAGTTAGGGGCAGTCAGGCTGGCAGAGGGGGGTGACCAGGCCAGCAGGGGGGCAGTAAGAGGTGACCAGGCTGGCAGGGGGAGGGTTCAGTTGAGGGTGACCAGGCCAGCAAGGGGTCAGTTGGGGGTGATTAGGCTGGCAGGGGGGGCAGTGAGGGGCAACCAGGCTGGCAGCAGGGGCAATTAGGGGAAACCAGGCCGGCAGCAGGGGCAATTAGGGGCAACCAGGCCAGCAGAGGGGGGCAGTTGGGGGTGACCAGGCCAATAGGGGGGCAGTTAGGAGTGACCAAGCCAGCATGAGGGGGCAGTTGGGGGCAACCTGGCTGGCAGGGGGGGCAGTGAGGGACTAGGCTAGTGGAGGGGGGGCAGTTGGGGTGACCAGGACAGCGGCAGGGGCAGTTAGGGGCAACCAGGCAGGCAGGCAGGTGAGCAATTAGGAGCCAGTGGTCCAGGATTCTAAGAGGGATGTCCGACTGCCGGTTTAAGCCGGATCCCCGGGATCAGGCCTAAACCAGCAGTCAGACATCCCCCGAAGGATCCCGGATTGGAGAGGGTGCAGGCTGGGCTGAGGGGACCGGCTCCTGTGCATGAATTTCATGCACCGGGCCTCTAGTCCTACAATATATATAAATTTCAACACAAGAATAACAATATCGTTGTTATTAACTAGTTGTAATATACTCTTATGAGTAACTGGAAAGGGGCAAAGGAAAGGCCAAATACTAGAGGCATGCCCAATAAAGTCTGGGTAAATAGGGAAGGGACTTACTTGCCTGTCAGTCACACCTGGGGACAGGTCAGTGGCCAGTGTGACCACTGCAAGTATAGGAAGATTTGAGATATCTAAACTCCTAAGCAAAGGAGTTTGCTCTCTTGCTTCTTGGTTCCTGCTCCTGGCTTGCAGGACTCTCATGCTCCTGCATTTGCCCACATGGTCCATGGCCAGGTGGACCACACACACAGTGGACTATTGGACTGCAACTAGCCTCATGCAAAACCAGACCCAGCTCCAACATGGAACAGAAACTCTGGCCACTGGCTTTGCTTCTAGCTCTACTAAATCCTCAGCTGCACATTATCCAGGACTGGATTAAGGGAAATGGGACTTTGGAAACAGAGGGGTATAATTCCACGCAAATAAAGCTTTCTACCACATCTCATCCTCCTGTGAGTGCCTCCGGAAATGCTTATTCCAGCAGCAGCACTCCAAGAACCCCACTCCCACTATGGAGAAAGACTATCCACACATTTCTCCGATAACAATGCCAATATTATTAAAAATAAGATTACTAAATGTAGGTTAAAATCTCTTCGTGATTATTCTTGCCTCTAAAATATATTCCACAAGAAAGGCACAGTCAAAATACTGACTTTGAAATTAATTAAATAATCCCTCTCTGGTTACGACACCATCTAGATATATAGCTAGGTTCGCTTTTTCAGGCTGCTTTTGCTTTTTAGTTTTATTTTTTATTTTAAGATTGAATTTTTAAAACATTTATGTGGTTCCAAAGTCAAAATTATAAAAGAAGTACAACCAAAAGTATTACCCAACTCGGTCCCTTTTCTTCTTTCTATTCCATCCATTCTCCTATAAGTAACCCTTTTCATTCCTTTTTAGTTCACCATCACCCCCCCCATTATTTCTTTTTGAAAATATAAACATGTGTTTGTGGAAAATGATAAAGGTCACAATTTGGGTCCTACAGATATTCACTGCTATAGACTGATTGGGAGATGTTTGTGTATGTGTGTCTCCACACTCCCTTTCTTTCCCCAAAACTAGAATGTTATATATACTCTTGTGTATCACCTTCTGTTTTTTTTAAACAGGAAATCTTAAAAGTACCCTGAAGTAATGTAAAGACATTTTCTATATTATTACAGTCTTTATAAATGAGCAAAATGCTCGTAGGCTGTTTTATCGGTTATTCATCCAGGCCCACTCGGAAGGAACTTTTGGGTTGTTTCCAGTGTTTTGTTTCCACAAGGAGTGCTGTGAAGAATAACTGTGGGAACGAGTTATTTCTTATTCTGGGAACAGATTCCAGGAAGTAGGGATACTAAATCAAAGAATAAAGGCAATTGTCACTTTGATAGAAATTATACCAGTGTCCCTCCTCTTACCCTCAAATCACAAAAATCATGCAGAAAAAAAGGGACGTTAAGGAAATTTACTCATGTTAGAGACATTTCATTTCTAATTTTTCAAATAAATGTTTCACTCTGGTAAAAATTAATTTTGAATTGCTATATTGATAAAATAAACTGCATAACATTGTGGCCCAACTTTAGTTTTTCTATATTGAAAACTCTGGAGGAAACTTATTTTAAAATAAAAATACCAGGTACAATAACAAGAAAAGTGGGGTGGAAGGTTTAAAGACAGAAGTTCTTTTCTGGCAGTTGTCATTCTGAAAACCAATGATTTTATGAGTGAAGCCCTTGGGATTTCCTAAAATAGAATAGAATTCAATCATTTTAAAGTAAATGGAACAAAAAGCTTTTACACCACGCTTCTTTCCATTCCTATTTATTCTGAATTCTGTATATTTTAGCAAGTTTTGATACCTAAAAAAACCCAAAGAAACCTTTGTTTAATTACAACCCCCTTTTTATTAACTAATGCATTTTATATGTAATATAGAAATGGAATTACAGAGCCGGTGCCAAATACTCTATGTAGGCAGTTTAACAAGGACTTCCTGTTACCAACCCGCTCCAATGAAAATGATCTTCCTTTAATCTAAAGAATGGGCGGTTAACTGGCAGAACCGGATTCTCCAGGTGTGAAGTAAGCAATTTGTTCTTCTCAGCAAAAGGACAACTTTATCTCTAACTTATTTGGCTTCATAATTTGGCTTTCAATTAAGTTAATGATATGAAAATGTACAGAAATTGCCTGTGAACTATAAGATAGAGACAAATAATTTGATCAAAACGTTACGGATGATAGGTTTTCCTCTCACAGGCAGGACTCCAACACCGCAGGTGGAAAAGCAACAAAAGGAACAAGACAAAGGTAATAAACCACTCTTTTCTGTGTTTTTTAATGTGAGACACCCGTAGCTGAAATTTGTGGCATTTAAAAATAGCTCAATAGATAATTAAAATCACTTGTTTTGTTCAGATTTGGACCAGGCTACCAGCAGCTGATCTGCTCATATATATTGCTAATAAATTGATCTTGGTTTAGAGGTCTCAGAAATAGACGACCATAGTAAAAATCAACTTCTTCTTTTAAGTCCTTTAAAAAGGAGCTTCTCATTTTGGAAACAATGGAAATTCGGATCCTATAAAAACAAACTTAAAATTCTTTCTTTTATAGACTGGTTATAAATTAGTCATACTGTGCTTGCTTTACAGAACACTTACCATTGAATTCTGAAAAGAAGCTTATGCCTAAATTTGACACAAATGTATAACCTTTAAAAAGTTAACATAATTTTGTAGAAGGTCTTAATTAATTTATTCATTGTTGTTTCCCAGAATATTGTAAAGTTAATCTGAGGAAATTAGAACATAATCTTGTAAAAGGACCACTGTGAAATATCAAAGTATTAACTTTTAAAATGTTTTAGCTAGTATATGAAAAGTATGTAATTGTAAAACTTAATATATTATACTTGATTTGACAGTTTTACATTTTTAATTCAGAATCATTTAATTGCTACATATATATGATGTCTAACACTTTCAAAATAAAGCAATATATATAGAGAGGCTTAACCAAAACACACTTTATTTTCTTATATTTCTTCAAAGTTATTTTATAATTGTTACCAAAGTATGTATGTACAGCATACTTTCATCAGGTAAGAGTCTTAATATTTAAACAAGTCAGTTAACAATTAACTTACTTAAACTAAATAAAAAGTAAAATAAAAAGGCTCTGAAGGACTGCATTACAAAAACATCATGTAATTCAAACTCTGAGAAATTATTTACAACTTGCAATAAGTTGTTCCTTTCCCCATTTAAGTAGCCAAAGTGGTGACCATCCCAATAACATCAGCTCCTTTCACCTGGAACTAGGGAAATTCTGCAAGCGGGTTTCATTCACAGAAGCCAAACATAAAATAAAATGCCCCATTTTATGTTAGGTAACAACTGGTTCTGATTACATGTCTTGAAATATTTTATTTAATCAATATAGTAACTATAAAAAGAAAATACCTTTAAAAATCTATAAATCTATAATGTATCTATCCCAGGGTATATTTCTTAAAGCACTAGATAATTTTCATTTATATTCCTATTCCTGGAAATGTTCTCTGTCTGCATTAGGGTGGAGAAACTTTTAGTTGAGTCATATAAGTTTACTTTTCTATTTCCCAAAACAAACTGTCAAAGTTGATTAGCATGTTTAAAAATTAATATTCTTTCTTTTTGCAAATATGTTTAACCTAAAAAATATAGTCAATTATTGACAGTAGAATTCAAAACAGTAATGTATTAAGTTAAACATGCTGAAATATGATTCATATTTGAATAGAACTCTTCCAACATTAAGAAAATAAATTTAAGGTATAGTAAAGATTGTGTAAAATGGTAGTCTCATCTATTTCACCTAGCCTAAGCAATTAAATGATAACTGTGAGCTTAATATTTTATGTTCATAAACTTTGTCTCTTCTACCTTTTAAATTCTAATATGATTACATGTCTCACTTTGCCTAATATTCTATTTTATAAAGATATATTTTAAATTAAGCAATTAAATTGCAAATAGTTATACATGTAGTTATAAGTATGTAACTACTAGAAAGTACAATTTGCATACAGCATGTTAAGTGCACTTGAGTACCTACATTAAGTCGATTTCTGCAGAAATGAACAAGGATTTGAGGAACATTCTGAATTGTTAGCTCTGTAAAGAGAATCATTATGGCTCTGGACAGTTTGGCTCAGTGGGTGGAGCATCAGCCTGCGGATCAAAGGATCTGGGTTCAATTCTGCTCAAGGGCATGTACCTTGGTTGCAGTTTCCTCCCTGGCCCCAGCCCTGGTCGGGGCTTATGCAGGAGGCAACCAATTAATGTCTCATCGATGTTTCTTTCTGTCTTTCCCTCTCTATTCCACTCTCCCTAAAAATCAATGCAAAAATATCCTTGGGTAAGGATTAACAACAACAACAAAGATAATCATTATGACCTTCAGTCGAGATGAACAGAACAGAAATTCTTCCCTCTTCTACATACAGAAGTGTTTGATATGATCTTGAGAAAAGAAAAGACAAATTTTAAAACTACATATCATATTTGAAGTAAAGAAATTTCCAACTACCAGAGATAAGGAGGGAACATAATCATAACCAAAGCAGAGAACAGCAATTAAAGCAACTCCATGAGCTACTAAAAGCTGAGTTTTAGGTTTTTTTGCATAATAGGGAACTAAAACTGAGCTTCCTAGATGAAGCATCAACCAGAAAAAATAGAACACAGTCTATATACAGAGATAGAAAAATCTCTGTTGGCTTGTCCAGGATTACAACAAGAAGTGAGGGATCCACTCAGGCTATAAAATTAGGCCCATATTTATACTGCCTGGGTTACTCCATGGGGCTCCAAAATTGGATAAGACTGTATCCACATGCAGGGCACTGCAGGCATTCTTGTATAATATAATTCCCCACTGAAGATAAACTACTGACAAGCTTCACTAAGTCCACTTGTCCACCACCAAGAGAAACAGTTCATGACTACAACAAAGATATTTATTCCTCAGAGATCAAAATAACCTAATAATGTAAAGGAACTTTAACATAAATACCCTTTAACTATTCAAAGGAAATAAATGAAGACATGGGACCCATAAACCAAGATGAACACAGTATATAAACTTTATAGTTAATTTTATATAAACATCACTATATTATGCATGCCATGATATAAAGCCCTAAAAGGAAATGTTTTTCCTATAGTATCAGTAACATATAGAGATTCATATAAAAAAAAGATTCAGCATATTTACTTGGTTTTTTTCCTAGTCAAATTATTAAGATTAATGAATACAAAATACATATCAATATATTTTGAAGAGTTCCTCAAAGTAACTTTTATTCAAATATGAAAGTATGGTAGGTACTCTTTCAGGAAACTGTTCTTCCATAGACAGGAACCCAGGGAAAGACAACCTTTACAAGGGTCAGAGTCAAAAATCTTGGTTTCCACAATCAGTGACAGTAACATTCACCTTCCTGAAGTATTTTGTAAAGGTATACTGTGCTACAATATCAATTTGAAATATTTTAGTTCTTAAAAGCAAAAAATTTAATCTATGATGCTTTGGAAAAATAGGCTTTTGATGGAATTGGTCACTTATTTCTAATTTTTTTAAAAAAGGAAGACCTATCCAGCCATAAAAATGTTACAGCGGGTTGTTTCAGGATTTGTTCTAAGTCATACTACCAAAGAGAAAGTTGGAGACCTTGTAGTTTTTGAGAAATTGAAAGGTTGCTAGATGCTTCTTAGCAGTTATATAAACATCTTAGATAGAAGTTGATTCTCATAAATAAAAAATCAGAATGTTTTGTTTACATCCCCCTCATAGCTCATTGGAGTCTCCAATACTGTTACTCTTTTCTTTTTCCCATATTATCAGTATCACAAGACCATTTAAAAAACAACAACAGTGCACAAACAGCATATCTGCTATATACTTTGAAGCTATAAGAATTCATAGTTCCAGGTTAGTACAAGTGTAGGAAACAGGCTCGGCTAGTATGGCCCAATGGTTGAGTGTTGACCTATGAACCAGGAGGTCACAGTTTGATTCCTGATCAGGGCACTTGATCCCCAGTGTGGGATGTGCAGGAGGAAGCAATCAATGATTCTCTCTCATCATAGACGTTTCTATCTCTCTCTCCCTCTCCCTTCCTCTCTGAAATCAATCCTATATACGGGTAATATGCAAATTGACCCTAACAGCAGAACGACCAGGAACAACCAGTCACTATGATGTGCTCTGACCACCAGAGGGCACTCAATGCAAAAGCTGCCCGCTGGTGGTCAATGCACTCCCACAGGGGGAGCTCTGCTCAGCCACAAGCCGAGCTGATGGCTGCAAGTGCAGTGGTGGTGGCAGGAGCCTCTCCCACCTCCTCCTCAGAGCTAAGGATGTCTGTCTGCGGCTTAGGGCCACTCCCCGCAGAGAGTGGGCCTAAGCTGTCAGTCAGACATCCCCTGAGGGCTCCCGGGCTGCCAGAGGGATGTCTGACTTCCAGCTTAGGCCCGATCCCCTGGGGAATAGGCCTAAGCCAGCAGGTGGACATCCCCGAGGGATCCCAGACTGCGAGAGGGTGCAGGTCGGGCTGAAGGATTCCCCCAGAGTGCACGAATTTTCGTGCACCAGGCCTCTAGTACAAATATATTTTTTAAAAAGAATAGGAAACAGAAATCTCTGTATGTAAATAGTAATGAAGTATACTTCACTTCCATCTATGTTATCTCAGTCTATGACTATGAGCTAAGGCAGAAGAAATTATAACAATCACAGTTTCTACATGATGTCAAGGATAGAATTCAAAAATTTCTTAGAGACTTCCTGTGACCTAGGTCTATGAGATCAGTACTAATTCCTTTTCCTTTTCTCAACTGTAAAGTGTTTAGTTTGGTCTGATTAAAGATCCTAATAAAGCTGCAAACAACATAATTATTTTGGATCTGATATGCTATATTACCTTCTATAAGAATTTTTTCCTTTTAAACATACTATCTTCATAATAAAAACCCAGAGGTTGTGACACTGTAACGACCAAAGACCGATCACCAGGAGGCTTCACGTTCGGCGAGGCACACACAGGTGGGCAGGGCTGCGTGCACTGCGAGTTGCATGTGGGTGGCCAGGGCCGTATGATTTCGCACACTGGGCTTCTAGTTTATAAGAATATTTGATACAGATCAACTTCATTTGTATGTTTCACTAGGATAATCCATCACTATGGATTAGGAAAAAAGAAAAAGTCAGGCAGATTTATATCTGAATGTAGGCTCTGCCACTTTTTAGTTGTGTGGCCTCTGACA